ACAGCTAGGAGCTGTGAAGAGACGCTCTGCGCTGCACGCCGCACCGCTTGTTTGCAGAGGTGGGTCCCGCCTGTTCACAGCAGCGGGTGTGAAGAGGCGCCGTTCACACAGCAAGCGGTCATTACCTGCCAGAGTGCTCGCCGGACTTCAGCAGCGGCTCGAAGAACTCGTGGGACTGGTGTTGGACCTAGTATAATAAAAAGAATGAAAACAAGAATACGACGATGACGAAGAAGCTTAGCTCGTGCGACTAGTGCGTGACCTACGTGCGGAATACGCCAGCCTCGGGGCGGGAAGACGGTCTTGTGTCTTCAGAGCCCCGCGTGAGTACGAGCGAAGCAATGAACACAGCTGAACACAGCGGGAGACGGTCGAATGACTTGGAATGCAAGAGTACGGCTTCAGACTCTAGGGTGCTGGACGTGCACAACGGCGGAGCCGCACGCCAGCAGCTGGCGCAGCCGGTTCGAGTAGCCAAACCCCGGCACCGACAGCAATACCTAACCGCGGACCGACAACCCGCGTTTGCCTTGCTCCTTCTCTCGTGGCTGCCGAGCCCCGACAGCAAGACCTGGAAGCGGCACGCATAGTCGGGCGGCAGCTGGGCGCTGAAGTTGCCCCAGCCTACGGCGTGCGAGCCACCAATCAGCAGCCGGCACGTGTGAACGCTGGGCGCTGGCGTTGCCCCAGCCGACGCCGAGCCGCGCGTAGCTCCGCTTAGCGCGCTCCACGTCATGCGGGTTGACAAAGCCGCTCCTGAAGGGACAGTTCCGGGAAGGCTCGGAAGGGGAGGCTCGGCGTCGTGCGGGCTCTGACTGCCGCCAGGTAGTGAGGTGTAGAAGAGCAGTTCGATCCGTGAGTGGGCGCCCGGCGCTAGGGGAAAGACGTGAGCGCGGCCACGAGCGCCGCTCCTGCCGAAGCCGACGTCGAGGACGTGCAACAACTCTCCGTGCGTGCGGTTGAGGGGCAGCAGCGACTGGCGGCTGATGCCCGTCGAGCAGGCGCCGCCAAAGTACGCGCGCGCGTCCCTCTGCTCCCACCCCCATGCGGCGGCGGCGCGCTCGAAGCGCGGCTGCATCTGGCACCACGGCGGCGAGTGGTACGACCTGCGTGTTGAACGCGCCGAGGTCAGGGCGGGGAGGCGGCTGTCTAGGAAGTGTCTAGGAAGCGTCTAGGAAGCGTCTAGGAAGCGTCTAGAAAGTGTCTAGGAAGTGTCTAGGAAGCGTCTAGGAAGTGTCTAGGAAGCGTCTAGGAAGTGTCTAGGAAGTGTCTAGGAAGCGTCTAGGAAGTGTCTAGGAAGCGTCTAGGAAGTGTCTAGGAAGTGTCTAGGAAGTGTCTAGGAAGCGTCTAGGAAGCGTCTAGGAAGTGTCTAGGAAGTGTCTAGGAAGCGTCTAGGAAGTGTCTAGGAAGTGTCTAGGAAGTGCTGAACACACCGAGGTCAGGGCGGGAGGACGGTCTTGTGCAGAGTATGAGAGGGGTGCGATTACAGCGAACACAGATGAATGCGGTCGAGCAGCTCAACACGCGGCCTCTCGAGCGCTGGCTGGGAGACAAGAGTGCGTGTTTCCGCCTCTAGGGCCTTCCGCCCCACCCACGAGTACTCGGGCAGCGGCAGCGCCGTCGAGCCTGCGGGGGGTGAAGAGACCCGCATAAGGGCGGAGCACTTCAACGGACTTCGTACACCAGCATCGGGAAGGCGGCATTGCGCCGAGTCTTCCGTTTCACCGCGTGGAGGCGAGGGAGGCGAAGAAGGCAGTGAATACGGCCGACTGCGGCCGAATGCGGTTGAGTGCGTGTCCTCTCGAGCGATGGTTAGGAGACGAGAACTCGTCTTCCGCTTCTAGACTCCGTGCTGCCAGGTGCGGGGAGATACGGGGGGAGATATGGGGAGATCTTCCGCTTCTAGGCCGTCGAGCCGAGGGCGCTCGCCCGAGCGTGCACAAAGACTGGCAGCCGCGGGCAGTTGGCCGCCGGGCGGGTGCGCCGTCGGCCATGCAGCGTGGCGCTCGTGTTGGGCGCGTGGCAGCGGCGGCGCGAGTGCAGGACGGTCGGGTCCGAGTCGGCCGCCGCAAAGACGAGCTCGGAGTCTGGGAGAGGCTCGCCGAGGGCGCTCGCCTGTCAGGGACAGGGGCAGGGTTAGGGTTAGGGTCAGGGTCAGGGTCAGGGTCAGGGTCAGGGTCAGGGTCAGGGTCAGGGTCAGGGTCAGGGTGGGTCAGGGTCAGGGTTGGGGTTAGGGTTAGGGCTCGCCAAGCCCTCGCCTGCTGGGCCGCGAGGAGGAGGATGCGCAGCACGCTCGCTCGCTCCTTCCAGTGCTCGTAAAAGTGGATCGGCCGCACCCACAGGCTGCCGTTGACGACCCTCGCACGCCACGAGCCCGCCGCCGTGAACTGCGACGCGTTGGCCGCCCACGCCTCCGCGTAGTCGACGTCGCTACGCGAGACGCCGCCCGCATAGCTCGACAGGTAGCTGTCGACGAGCGGCTGCCAGTTGGCCGTCGGCGGCTGCGCTGGCCGTCTGTGGCCACGCATGTATCGGCCGCAGTGCTCGCTGCTCGAGCCGCTGCGCACACCGGAGCAGCGCTTGCGCTCCGTGTGTGGCTGCCACGAGCTCACGGCTGCAGTTAGAAGCATGCTGTGCGTGACGGGCTACACGCGGGGTGGATGTCCCTCCCTGGAGGCGTCAGTTCGTGCTCGCGATACCAGGGTGGCCGACCCATGCGCTGCGCGCAGCGCACCGCGCAAAAAGAATTCGCCCACTCGGTGGGGCCAACTCAAGGTGTGTGGCAGCCAGCTGGCTGTGTGTCTTGTGAGCTTGTTTGTGTCTGTGTGTTGCTCGTGCGTGTCGTCATCATCTGTCCCGGGTCCACCCATACCGCGTTGGTGTCCAGTCCGAGCCTGACTGTTGTTCATCTTTCTACATACATACATACAGTGCGAGGTTCTCGTCTGTCCGTGGGCCCGGGAGCGATGCGTCATGTATGTGTAAAATAAGGTTTGTTTCATAACACTCCCTTTGTTCTCTTCTCATAAAATCGGAGGGTCGGCCCATGGGGGGACTTCGTGAACTGAAGCGACCCAACGATTTTATGAGTGGCAGCAAAGGGAGTGGTTTCATAACATCGAAGCTTACGTAAAAAAAGAAGTTTGACTGCATCGTCACGTCTGCTTCACGCCCCTTCCCACATACACACACAACAAGAGAGACAGATGTATGTATGTAACTCTAACCGCGCCGCAGTCTGCGCTGGAATTCGGCTTAGTTGGCGTTACATTTCGCCCGAGCCATCGAGCCGCGTGGGGGCGCTGGGGCTGACGCGTGACCGGGTGACGCCGCGGCGCACCGGGGTGGACCGAGAGCTTTTCTCGAGGAGCACTTGGAGCACTTGACGAGCTTTTTTATTTTTTCGACACACTGCTGCACTCACTGCACACTGGCGTCTGGCCACACATATGCTGGGGCCTTCGGACATCTGTGGATCAGCCTTACGCACGCGCTCGATCTCTTCGCCCCGGCCTCTTCGCGGCGAGGTGAGGTAAGGTAAGGTAAACCCTCGCGTCTCCACGTCTGAACGACGACAGGACCGCACCAACAGCAACACACACGGCACTCGAAAAAGAGTGCAAAAGCGCGGCCGCTCTTCAAGAGGGCGCCCGTGGGTGATCGGTGTCAGTGCATGTGTGTAAGTGTGTGTGTGTATGTGTGTGTGTGGGGGGGGGGGGGCGCTCTCACGGCCCCGGACGACTGGCGGGAACGGCGATGGCCATCGGCGATGGCCGAGAGATGCGCGGGAAAAACGCGCGCGCTGGGGTTGACCGTTTGTGTTTCTATATACCGACAATTACTACGTTTGGGACAAGCGGTTCGGCTACACGGTGGCTCCACCGTCGGCTCGCGCTCCGGCGGCGTGACCAATGCAGAAACGGCCAAAACGCACCGTCCACTCGACCGTGCGCACTTGCCGGACACTAGCGTGATCGCGCTGCCCGCCGCCTCACTGCATGCTGTGTAAGAGCGCTCTCGCTCACATTGCCATCAGCTTGGTGACCTTGGCCTTGAGATCGGCGACTTCTGCGTCCGTGAGCTTGCGGCCGTAGACCTCCTCCTTCGTCTTCACGCTGTTGGCGACGAGCTCATCAAAGCTGAGCGCGGCCGCGGAGCTCGAAGCGCGGGCCGCGGGCGCAGCCTTGGCTGGCGCAACCTTTGTCGCGGCAGCCACGGCGGGCGCTGGCGAGTCGTCGTCGATGATGGCCTCGACGATCTGAGCGGCGACCGGCTTGACAGCGCTCTCGCGCTCCTTGTAGCCGCCTGAAATGAGCTACAAGGAACGCTTAATGAGCGCTCAGAGCTACCAAGGCGCGCTCTATACAAGGAGCGCCAAAGCCGTCGGGCATACAGTTGCAAGCGCAGGTCCCTTTGGGCTTGCAGGTGCTCTCCGCCTTCAGGCCTTCGACAGGACCCTTATCCCACGGGTTTGAGACCGCAAAGACGGGCTGCACGAGCGCGATGGAGCCGAGGAGCGAGACAGCGACTGCGTCGCGCCGCGAGTGCGATGTCGCGACCGGACCGGCCCTGCTGCCGATCGGCTCGACTTTGAGCGCGAGCAAGAGCGGCAGCAAAGTGGCGAGCATTTCGCGATGAGTGTCGTCAAAAAAGAAAAACCCGGGGGAAAAGCCGGTTTGCTGTGAAAAGATAGATGAAGTGACCTCGGATTTGCTTCAGCCTTCTCCCCAGATCGTCACAACCTCGGCCAAGGCCCTCGCTGAAGTGTGAAGTGCAGACATGTTCTTGCGAGATCGCGTAACACGGAGCACTCGCTCAAAGAGAAGGGTTGCGAACTCGGGTGCGTGTGTTGCGGCGACAGCTACGAGGTGGACGTTGAAATAAATAAAACGGACGGAAAAACACCCCCCTTGAGCACTTGAGCACTGGATAGGGTCGATTCCGCATGGTACGGGACCCCTCGATCGTCTCGCCCACCCTCACTGGTGTGATCATTGGGGGGGGGTCATAACAAACACGGTACAGGATCGAGGTGCACGCTGCCGAAGCAGTGTCGTCCCCCCTTCTATGGCTCTAGACATCTGTGGGAGCTCCACACCGCCGCCGGCGGGGCCGCCGCCGTATGGACCCGCTCGGAATAACCTGGGGGGTCCGGGACCGCCCCGCCGGAGGCGCTGGTGTACCCGGGAGGAGGAGATGGGGGAGGGGAGTTACCCCGGTACGATAGCGGACCCGCCGGCGAACCGGAAAGCCGAGGCCGGAGGGCCCCAGGGGGGGCTTGGGGTCAGTTGTCGGAGGAGGTGAGAGATGAGCTAACGCGGCCTCTGAGAGTGGAGTCGGGACGTACGGGCTCACCGGGGGAAGGCCAGTCGCAGTGGCAACCGGACCACCGCGACCTTCGACAGGGAGGGCCACGCCTCCCCGAGCCTGGAGAGGAGCCGGCGGAAGGGGGGGGCGAGCCGAGAACGATAGAGAGGCCGCGGGTGCGGGCACGACTCGCCGACCAGGGAGAGCGGGCTCGACCTCCCTGGGAGGGGAGGCGACACGACCCAACGCCGCCGCCCCCGCCCGGGGAGACCTCGGCCGGGCCGTCGACGCCCTCGGAAGCGGTGGAGCCGGGAGAAGCTGGCGGAGATGAAGGGCGGCAGCGGAGGAAGCGACAGCAACAACGAGGGAAACGGCCACACCGGCCGTCGCATGACGCTCGTGAGACGAGCAAGAGAACGAATCAAGGGGGGTCGGAAGCAACCCTGGGAGGATGGGGGGTGAGCCCTCATGCAGGGGGTCTACTCAAGTGCCTGCGCGAGTGAGTGTGGAGTGGGGGTGTGACGTGTGAGGCGTACAATGTGGTGTTCATTAGCTCCGAGTAGAGGGGGCGTCCTGCAGTTAAGGGGAAACCCGGTACGCGGGGCCAACCCTCGGAGACCCGTGTTTACTTTACGGCCCTTTCCCTGCGAACGCGCACCCCCGGGGCTAGGGCTTTCTTGCCCGCAACCCGATCCCGATCATCCGGCCCGCTGGGTGCGCTTCTTAGCTCCCCGGCCCTGGATGTGAGGCTAATGACTGCACTCCAAGTGCTCCAAGTGCTCTACGTCACTTTTTTTGAGTAGATAGTGCCGAGCTCTGCACGATGACACAACCCACAGGAATAAATACTTGTGTCGCTAGTGTTCGAACAAGCGGTCGTGTCGTGCACCTCGGGTGTTGGGGAGGTCGTGGGAGCCGCTCAGGACCATTTTGGGGGCGCAATTCGCCTCGTTTCCCTTGAACACGCGGTTTCGCCCCCTCGGGAGCGCCCACATAATCGCGCGTCCCCCCCTGTGGCGACGGTCTCGCGCACCTGCGCCAGACCCCACCGCACTAGCTACATAGATCGTCAGCAGTAGGCGTGCTCAGAGCCCGGATTTGGGCCCATTCGCCAAAGGGCTCGAGAATGGCGCCCGGCAACGTGCAGCTGCAACCAGAGGGCGTGAGGTGAGGCCGAATCCGCAGTCGCACGAGCACCGCTGCCCCCAGCGGTGATCATGCATGGAGTGGCACGGCGGATAGGCCCGCCTGCGAGCGTGGAAGACAGTCGCGGGGCGTGAGGTCTCAATGTATCGCAGGCTAGGACCGGATACGGCGGCGCGGGAGAGGGAGGGAAGCGTGAGCGGCGGGCGATGAGAGTGATTTCCCCGATCTCGCTAAAAATGGAATGGGCCCCTCACGGGGGGCCGGGCGAGCACGCACCTCGCGTCTGGGCGCGAGTCGACGAGTGGTCGCCGAGAGATCGCCGAACCACGTCTCGAGTGCGCGCGCACACAGCACAGCTGCGGGTTGTAACTCGACTGCCGATCGCGCGTGCGGGATGTAAATGCAGCTTTCTGGCGCCAGTGCACGGTGGCAGGGACTGGAGGCTCGGCCGAAGGGGAAGAGCAGTCCTCAATCGTCACGTAGAGGTCGCTGGGCTGGATCCATCGAACTGCCACACACCTGGAGCGGAGGCACATCAGGTCTTGCGGCACGCTCTCCGACAGATGCATGCCTTTTGAGCAAGCCCACGCGCCTCCACCGTCGCGTAGTATGCCAGCGGCACGCCGGTACGCCTACGTGTCGTGCGCGCTCGGCTGTAATCGGCGTTGAGACTGCCTAGCGCGCACATCGAGAGCGCCGAGTTGCCTTGCCGCGGGGTAACCGGCTCAAAGAGGTGGGGTTCGAGCGGCGCCTGAGCGCGTGGGAATGCGTAGTGGGCTTGGAATGAGACGCCTGGCGTGCATCGGGCTCGGACGGTGTCTGTTGTGAGCTCACCGCTCGACGCACAAACCAGGCGCTTTAGGCGCCCGCCAACTGGCCTCACGGTCGAGAGAGCGGAACGCGGCTCGCCGAACAGCAATACACGTGGCCGCACTACTGTAGAGGTACGAACAGGTATGCAGATCGCGGCGCGCCGACACTGGCACGGCGTCAGAGCCAATATTGAGCAAGGGCTCTGCTGGCCACCCGACTCGCCGGTCCCTTCGGGCTCACAGCACGGCTGGCCATCGCGTGAACAGGACGTGCCCTTCCGTTTTAAGGCAGTTCAATACCTTCCCCACGGGACACCAGGTCGGTATCCGGCTAAACCACACGACCCCGAGAAACGCATAAGCCGCCCCGGCGCTGCCTCCGATTCCGGCCGTATCGGCCATTTCGCTGGGGCGGCTTATGCGTTTCTCGCCAAAATGGTAAAGATGTCGAGCCAAAGCTGTTGACGCCGAGTTCGGCACCCGATTCGCCTTAAAACTGAAGGCGGGGGCGCGGCTCGGAGATGGCAAGGCACGGCGAGTGCAAACGTGCGGCTATTATGACGCTTTAGGGGCTCCAAAACCTCCTTTTCAGTGGTAAGCGCCACCTGGCACCTCGCGCCGTGCCCCCCAGCCGCGTGTGCGATCGCCCACGGATCCGGGGCGGGGGATGGGAGCCCGAAACGTCCACACAAGTATGCTCGGAGGCTCGTCAGAATGGTTTTTCAAGCGTTGTGTCATCGTGCTCTTACCATGTTCAATCCCCCCTCCGGGTGATGCCAGGGCAGCAAAACGGGCTACGGGTGGTGCCATGCAGCCAGCCTGACCCCCTAGAGCCGCCCGGCACCACCGCACCGGTGCGAGGCGTGATCGTGCTGCTTGGGGTACATTGTTGTTTTCATGGGCTCGAATGCGGTGTGAAAAAGGCGCTCCGAGGCACGTGTATATTATTTTTGCTTGGCCGGCCCTCATGCCGGGGTAGGTAGGTAGGGTCTGGGCCCTCCCGTCGGGTTTTTCCCTCTCTTCACGCCGGAATTTTCACAGCAGAAAAAGAAATTTTCCGCCCAAATCACGATGTCAACCCTCCCCAAGTCGTTGATCTGGTGCTTGTAGGGCTTGAGAGTGGCCTGCCATGTCACAGGAAGGACTGTGGTTGCAGGATAGTACCACCAGCCATCACTTTAGTTGGTATAGTACCCCACCTTCACCCATCGATTGATTTCTTTTTTAGTTTCCCATAAGTAAGGTAGGTAGGTAGGTAGGTAGGTAGGGGCAGGGCAGGGGCCGGTCAGGTTTTTGCAGAATTTCAGCATGAGGGCCGGCCAAGCAAAAATAATATACACGTGTCCGAGGTGCCGATTTTGCACGAGAGTGCGAGGTTCGAGCTCTCGTGCTCCGTCCACAGGCTGCGAGCCGTCGAGTGCTCGCTTCGCACTTTCCATTGGGTCCGTTGGCGCATATCGGGCGCCTCGCAGGCACGCCGTCCCCTCGTCTCTGTGGAGGAGATGCGTCACCCGGTTGCACTCAAATCGCAGCCGAACGCCATATCGCTCCGTGTGCCCCACCGGTGGCTAGCCTGCCGCCACCGCTTCTTCGCACTTTCCATCAGATGTGTGGGCGCGGGGCGGATGCCTCGCCGGCAGCCGAGGTGCTCTCTCCTCGGATCCTTTGCGTCACCCGCAAAAAGTTCTTCGGAAGCCACTGCCGTCTGGGCACTCCACCAGCCCTCCTCGCCTTTTGAGGCTGGGATTGGTGTCGCCCGTGGCATCTGCGCCGGTCGAGAGCTTCCACGTCGCTCATGCGCATCAGGGCGAGCGAAACGCTCGCCCTCGGACCGGTTGCCTCTGTAGAAGCTAGCCCGCTACTGTGCACCACGCTGTGTCCCTCTCTCAAAGAGGGTGTGTGTGACGATACGTTCCTTCTAATCTATACCCGTGCCGAAAATCACACGCACACACATCTGAATCACACACACATCTGAAGACAACTATCTGAATCACACGTCGGTCTAGGTCAACATCTCAAAGTCCGAGTCTGTGTCCTCGGCAGGCTCCTGCTCCGCCGCTGCGCCAAAGGCGGTCAGCGTTGCGGAGCCTGTGTGCGGCAGTTGGCGCTGGACATAGGCTAGACGTAACAGCGTGCGCACGTCGTTTCGGCGCTGTGCGACGAAGGCGTTGTTTTTTGCCTTCGCCGTCTTCATCGCCGTGCAAGTCCGCCGCATGCCGTTGAGCGGGGTGATCTCCTCACGCCTGCGGGGGCGGCGCGACACCGGTCAGCCTTATCGCAGGCATGCACACACACACACAGGGAGAGCGCACCCGCGAAGGTACTCGCTGAAGGAGCGAGTCAGGTCGCTCCTCACGTAGTCGACAGCCACCTCCGCGACAAAGTCCACCCAGAGCGCGCACTCGTGAGTGCAAGACTGCAGCTGCACATCCACCACCTCCAGCGCCCAGCCGGCGGCAGGCCCGGGGCTCCGGTGGAAGCAAGACGCGATGCCCGAGTCGATTGCGCCGCCATAGGGCTCGTGGTAGAGCACCCGTCTCTGGTCGACGAAGAAGAGGAGCTGGTGCCAGTGCCCGCCAAACTCGCTGCCGTCGGTAAAGCGCTGCATGACCAGCTTGCGCTCCGTCGGTGCCTCGCCCGCGAACAGCTTCGCCACTCACCCGGTGGGGGCTCCCGATTTGAAGCGGTTGAAGAGCGATCCGGCGCGAATCGTCATCCCCGAGATCGGCGCCCTCGCCTGCACGTCCTGGCTGTCGGCCCACGGTGAGAGGTCCTGCATGTTATGCACAATGATGTCGTTCAAGTGCTCGTCGTACCTGTCCGTCGGCACGGGGCAGCTCGAGCGACGCTGGGTCGCCCGGCCGTAGAGCGTCGGCTCTAGCTCTGTCCACGAGATGCCGAGCCCAGCTTCTGAGGAGACGGTAGACGAACCGGCCTGGGCGGAGCCAGCAGCACCGCTAGAGGCCGCATCCGTGGTGGAGCTAGAGGCCGCGGCGGAGGAAGTGGCGGCGGCGGAGCTGGCAGAGCTGGTGGCGGCCGCGCGGTTGAGAGTGGCGGCGGAGGCGGAGGTGCCAGTAGCGGTGGCGGAGGAGGGAGGGTCTGCGCGTGCCCGAAGGCGACGAAGTAGGTCACGCGCGAGAAGGTGAACTCCACCTCTTGCATGCGCTGCACCCGGTGGACGGCCCGGTCGATGAGGGAGCACGTGCCCGCGCTCGGCAGCCGCACGCGTGCGATATCGTCGTCCGAGATGTCGAACAGGAGCGTGGCGCCATCCCGAGCGAGCGACGCAGCGCCGCGCATCGAGATTGAGCGCTCCGTCCCGCTTTTGTGGCGGTACAAGTACACGGCCTTGCGCAGGGCGGCCGAGTAACGATTACCCGTCATGTTTTGACGCAGCGCGTACTCGATGCGATTGCGTGGCCGGCCGCGCTGCGGCCGGCGCGCCTCCGCTGCCCGCACCTCCGCCGCGCGCTGCCACAGGCCGAGGAGCGAGTCGGCCTCTGTCGGCTCCACCTTGCCGAGCACGCCGGGCAGGTGGAGCGAGAAGAGCTTCACGTCGTCGATCGCCTGCAGGGCGGCCCGCTGCAACAGCGGAGTGTTGAGCGACGCCTGCAAGACGTCGAGGCTGTAGAGGCCCGGGAGCGTCGGCACGTCGCTGGGCTCGTACACCAGCAGCAGCTGCGAGCGAAACGCTACGCCGAGGGAGCGGCCGGAGCGGCCCTGTACCTCTGGCCGCATGACGAATTCGCACATCATCAACTGAATGAATGCACCCCCGCCAAAGTGTCGCAGCGGGTTCGAGAGCTTCAGCGCCAGTTCTCGAACGAGCCTCGTCGTTGCCGCCGCGTGCAGCCGCTGCCGCCGCCGCTCCTCCTCGCGCAGCCCTACGACTTGCAAGTCGAGCCGGGCTTGGGCACGCAGCTCGCGAGGCGTCGGCACGCCTGATGTTTGCGTCCCGGTTGTCGCTGTAATCGCTTCGCGAGCGGCGGCACGGTGGCCAACCTCCTCCAGCTCGAGGCGTCCGATGTCTGCCACCAGCGTGAGCACGCTTGCTTGCTGCTGCTGCTGCTGCTGCGCAGGCTCCGCTGGAGCACTGCTCAGAGAGGGAGGTTCCTCGTCAACCTCCATGCGATCTCCGTTCGAGGCCGCAGCCGACGAGCCGCCGACGAGCCGCTGCGGCGCTGCACGGGAGAGCGATCCTCGGCGTCCGTGCTCTCTCTGGTTGTAGATCCCGTCGCGGCGGCCCTCGTCGCTCGTGCTATGCAGCTCCATGGCCTCGCCGAGGACGTCGCCAACCGTAGCATGCCGCGGTGCTCTCAGGTTCTTTGCGACGCCGACTCTGCGCGAGCCAGCACGGCTTTGCGGCCGCGAGGACGTTGCACTCGGCGAGGGCGCCTGTTGTGACGAGATCGGAAGCGTGAGATAGCGACGACTGCGCAGGCACAGAGTCGCAAACTGGCGGTACCGAGCGGCGATCTGGTCCTGGCCTGGAGCCGGGACGGACTCCTTGGCCGCTTTTGCGACGCTGTCCCAGGCCTGCGCCCGCTCTTTTCGGCATGGCTCGAGCACGAGACAAGTCGGAAAACCGCGACAACTTCGGCGGGCATTCACAGATTTTTACCACCTCGGAAGCAACGCCTGTGTGTTCACCGGTGCTAGAGAGTGTCGAAAAGGAGTCCACACTGCATTCATCGACATCAACGCGCCCCGCTGCGCCGCGCTACTCGCGAGAGCGGGAGGAGATTTGGGGAGATTGTCGGGAGATTTCCAAGATTGTCACCGGGGTGTGCGTGGGTAAGTCGTGCGTCCTACGTGCCAAGGCGATGTGCATGCTAGTCTGGCTCGTCCCAATACGCTCAGGGGGCCGAGAACAGCGCTCTGTCGCGCGCTACTTTCCGTGCTGCTGAGAGAGGCCCGGAGGGGCCCACCACGGCCCACGCTCGCCTCGGAA